GCGTTATCTTACTACTTTTTATTTTCCTACTTCACTCATTAGTTCAAGCATATTTCCATATGTTCATTATACATTTGTTTTTCTTCTTTGGTTAATTTTTAATTTCCTTCGCTCACCTTCCCTTATTGGTTTTCAACACAAGCATCAGACACAATTAAGAAATTTCTGGGTGGGGAGAAAGAATGCTCAGCCTGTATTCTGAAGCAAAAATTCTTGTCTTCTCACAAGTCAAGATGTGTTAGCTTCAGGATTCACCTGTTTTTCGATAACATTGAAGCTATAGGTGCCAAAACAGAAAAATGAACTATTTTTGTTTTGGTGTTGGTTCAGTGAGGGGAAGAATCTTAGCCTTTATAAGTGTAAGGAGGCAAGAATGAAACCAAAGCCTTCTTCAGAAGGAAGTTTTGTGCACAGAAAAAAAAAAAAAGTGATCTAGAACTGTGGGATAGTAGGAGAGGGGAGCCTCATGGAAAGAAACAGACAAGAGGCTCACCCATCTATCTTCACTTCTCACCAATGGCTGAACAGCCCTGAGTTTGCAGCTTCCCTTCCCCAGGAACCACCGCTGTGACTACTTCCCCAGTGGTTTCTCATTAACTCAGTGTTGCCAAATAAATGCATCATTTGTGTTCCCCCTCTTTAGTTAACCTACCTTTTCCTCCTGACTTTTTGACTTCCCTGCTTCTATTAATGAAATCACCCCCTCCCAATAATACAGGCTTACAACATCACAGAACTTTTTATTTTCATTCTTCCTTCTCAGATTTGACAAGAACTGGAGAGCCCACCGGAGTAAGATGGTTCCTTATATTCTCTCTCCCATTGCCCTAACATCTTTCCTTTTTTGTGTGCCTTTGAACTTCTTTTCAATCTTTAAAACTCAGATGACATGTCACCGCCTCCAAGGGAGTCTTCCTTGAGCACCCCCCCACACAAACACCTTATAGATACCACATTATTTTTTCTTTAGATTATTCACAGGTTTTTCTCCTGTCCTTGAAGGCAGCAACTACGCTTTCTTCATCTTTATATCCCCAGCATTAATCATGGTGTCTGGTACATAATGGATGTTCAATGAAGTTTTATTGCATTGAATTGTTTAACCGCTATGAAATTTGAGCTCCAACAGTTCCATGTTCATATCAGCATTTAAGGTTTTTTATGATATAACCCTAAGCTCCCATCTCCTTCTTCCTTGGGTACTCCAGATGGCAGCTGTCCCAATCTAGTCATCATTTCTCCACTGTATCTCTAGCTCCTATGTCTGTGCTTCTGCTCAGGCTTAGACATCCTTCCTCACTGTCTCCCAATAATTTGCCCAAATCTTGCTCATGTTTCTCAAGTCATCCCCAAAGCCAGTTATCAGAGGAGGCATTTCCTGATTCCCAACAGAGGCCTTCCTCCAAACACCCTTGAGCTTTGTTACTATCACCATCAACATGACACACTGACCGAACTGTTTTTAATATGCACTTAATTGTATTTTTTTTGCTCTGAGGATTAAATGAAAGTCCTATGAATAAAAAAAAATTTTAAATTAGCCATTGTTGGGGCGCCTGGAGGGTCAGTGGGTTAAAGCCTCTGCCTTCGGCTCAGGTCATGATCCCAGGGTCCTGGGATAGAGCCCCCATCGGGCTTTCTGCTCAGCGGAGAACCTGCTTTCTCCTCTCTCTCTCTCTCTCTGCCTGCCTCTCTGCCTACTTGTGATTTCTGTCAAATAAGTAAAAATTAAAAAAAAAATAAATTAGCCATTGTTTTCCATCACCCACTGTTAGTCTGAGATTCTTGAAAGAAGATGTTTTTACACCAACCAAAGCATCTAGTCCAGCTCCTGGCACCTAGTAGCCTCTAAAAATACCAATTATAAGAAATATCACAGACCAAATGGTGATTTAGGCCTTGCTTTCCCCAATCTCCTCACCAATATGCTTTCCCTAATACTCCCTTCTCATTGCCAAAACAAGGCTGCTCAATCACCTGTAATTATCACTTCCTCAGAGAGACCTTCCTTGCCTGCCAAATCTAAGGTAGCTCCAGGCCATTATCTATAATCCCCAAAACAGAAAACATCATGACTATTTTGTTCCCTGCTGAAACAGATATTTCTTAACTAATCATTTGTCTCTTACATATTTTGTAAAAAATTTCTTCAAGTCTGCTGTTAATTTTTTAACTTTAAATATTCCACATTTATATTCTATTACACACACATACACATATATCTATATCTATCTATCTATCTATCTATATATAGAGAGAGATATTTGGCAACACACACACACACATACGCTCTCTTCCTTCCATCATGGCTTTTAAAATTCTCTCTCTCTCTCTCCATATATATATGTTTTTTCTTGCTTGATCAAGCTATGCAAATATGTAATAAAGAATTCAGAGTACAAAAACACAAATCCTAGGGGTATATATATATGTTATATATATATGGAGAGAGAGAGAGAATTATAAATATATATAATATACATATAAATATATATAAATATATAATATACATATAAATATATATAAATATACATATATATATTTAATGCTCCCTTCCAATATATACCTAGAGGTTAAAAAGTTGAAAAGCCATCTTTTTAAAGGTCTTGAAGCATTTTGTCAAATTGGACATCTCCAGCCCTCCGACAAAAGTGTCACTTGCATTCTTAAAGTTCTACCAATGACCTTATGTGACCAGGTTCTGCTAGGCCAGCTGGACAGAATTAACTCAGTGCTAGCTAAGCACCCTCTCAAAAATTTCAGGAATCAGGTGTGTAAAGCAGGGGTGCTCTGTTCAGCACTGTGTACACTGCCCCCTGGTCATTAGCACCAAATCATTTGATAGTCCTCTCATGATTTACCTTTACTTGAATGAATGCACAAATTTGTCTATATCCATTGCACCCACATACTAATTCTCTTTGCTTTATTTCTGTAGAGACTGGATAACCTCCAAGATCTGTGGTCAGCCGGAGAACAAGTGCCACTGTCTTTCCAGGTCACTCTCTAATTGTGGTAATACATAGTGACTTAGCCAACTGTGTAAACAACTTTACCTGGCTATTCCAGTCCATTTATCACAAATGTTGCCAATTATAACAGTTTCCATCACAGAGAAATGACATAGAAGAATGCAATGCACTGTGAGGGTAATCTGGTAAATATTATTGGACAGGATGACATGGAGACAAATTTTGGTGACCTCAGTACACACTTAGCACCGAGCCATTTCTGTGAGCATCATATGACTTCCCCTGATCTTTAGTCATCCTGCAACATGTAGGAAAATAGTGCTGGGTGATCCAGGAGAGAGCACTGGGTGGGGCTTTCCTAAACTACACCTGCCTGTAATACATCATTTTCCCTGGCCTTTCCTTTGCAAATTAAGGAGTGTAATTCTTTATAATATACATTTTTTGCCTCGTCCAGATCCCACAGACATGGAAAGAAAAACAAACGCATTCTTTTACTTCTGTTCTTAAGATGTAATCCAGGCAGGGGAAAGTGGGGTGGATTTTTACCTTAAATTTTTCTTGCTTTGTCAGAGAAGGTTTTATTTCATTGTTTGACTTCTTATACCCATTTTTTTTTGTTTTGCTCTTCTTTTTTCTTTTCTCTGTTTTTTCTTGCTTGATCAAGCTATGCAAATATGTAATAAAGAATTCAGAGTACAAAACCACAAATCTTAGGGGTACCTTAGTGGCTCACTCAGTTGATCATCCAACTCTTGATTTCAGCTCAGGTCATGATCTGGAGTTGTTTGGATCAAGGTTGACATCTAGCTTCGACCTTCTGGAGCCTGCTTAAGATTCTCTCTCTCTCTCCCTCTGCCCCTCGTCCCCACTAGTGCACACACTCTCCTTCTCTCGTTCAAAAAAAATTTTTTTATATATTATGTATATGAAAATCATGGTGGTATCAAAACCCATCTCCAAGTGTAGATGCAATTTAGAGCTTCCACCTTGTTTCCACAACTGTTTAAGCTTAAGTAGTGATAAAGCAGGGTAGGAATAACGAGGATAAACCCGACTTGGTCCCAACCCTGATTGTTTCCACGGGAGGGGATTCAGAGAGGTCAATACAATAATATCAATAGCTACAATACAATATCCTAAGTGACAAAGGCAATATTAGAAGGATGGAGGAGAGGCCATCAGGAAAGACCTCTTGCAGCACGCTGTGCTAGACATTTAAGAGCTGAAAAGAATGTCTTGGACAAATATTTGGATTAAGGACATTCTATACAGGAGGTCAGAGTGAATAAATTCTTTGATGGTAGAAGGCGGCGAGTTAAACTGACAAATTGATCCCTTTATAACTCTGTTTTTAATTAACAGAGTTAAACCTAATGAAGAGACTGCCCTCCTGGAGAAAAACAAAAATTGATGGCCTTTTATGGCCACCAGGAAAAACTAAATGTATTTTGGGAAGTTACCGAAGCCTTAGTGTCGCCAGAAGGAACTTCCAGTTCCCGAACTGTACAGATCGCTCCTGGAGAAAAGACTAGAACCAGTCCTCAGGCTATTTATTTCCCTCACTGTCCACTGGCAGAGACGCTCATTTTGAACGCAGCTGATTGGCTACTGTAAAAGCCCGCTCTGAGCAAGAGCCAATGACATCCCGGAGCTCAGATTCTTGGAAATAGTTTCTGGTCAGGAATGCGTGACATTGAGACAGCTTCTCGCTTGTAAACAAGGACGAGTCTGGGCGGGCTCGCAGCCCACGCGGTCCGGGACTCCTGTCCAAGCGGCTGATCTTAAGCCTACATACCTCCAGGTGCCCGCTTCACCTTCCACCTTTCCCCTTACTCCTCACAGTCCCGGGCACTGGTGCCAGGTCTCTCCCGCGACAGGACTCCGCGCCCGGGGGGGCGGGGCCCAAAGTTCTTTATCTGAGCTGATTGGCGCGGCCCCAGCTGAGGACGCGTCTCCAAGTCCCAGTGACTCCTCCCCTTTGGAGCTGGGGGGAGCGTGAGGGGAAACAAATAAAACCGCGGGAGGCGGCCGGGGGTGGCCAGACGGGAACTTGAGTCTCCAGCCACTCGCTGCTCCTCACACTCACTGCCGGCCTCCTCCCCTCGGAAGCACCCCAGGATCTCAGCCCAGGCAGGGTGCACGAGCCAGCCCACCTGCCCTCCCTGCCCAGACGCGCACCGCCCCAGCTCGGTCCCAGGTTCTGCCTCCCTCAGCCTTCGTCCCCCAGGCCAGTCCTTGCGCTAACCAGGCCGGGTGGGCATCAAGATGAAGGCGGCCCGCTTCGTGATGCGCAGCGCCGGCTCACTGAGCAGCGCAGGCCTGGTGCCCCGCGAGGTCGAGCATTTTTCACGCTACAGCCCGTCCCCGCTGTCCATAAAGCAGCTCCTGGACTTTGGTGAGCTGGGAAGTAGGGCCGGGTGGGGGCGCTGGGGTTGGGAAGCTTCCTTAACTTTCAGCCCCGGAGCTCCTTGCTTAAAATAACTGGAGTCTATTATCCTGCTGAACCTTGGAGCCTCGACGGCAGTGCACCTTGCCCTTTCCTAGATCTGCCTTATTTCTGACAGTTTGTGCCTACAGGTCAGGGCCACTTGCTGACCCGCTGATGCTGGATGGTTTGAGCTCATCTTTCTGTCCACAGCTTCCAGTCAAGATACTTTTTGCTTTGCGTCAGTATTTCGCAGTGATTTAAAAAACTTTATCCCCCTCCTTCACAGCATAATACTTCGGGGGGGAGGATTCTTAATGTTATAAAGTGGCCTCAAATTAATTCAATTTTCTCCTTTAGCCACCTGCCACCTGTTGACGGGGTATATACATCTCTCTGCATTGCTAACAGATTTTTTTGTCTCTTTACCATTATGGTTTTCCATATATTTGCATTACTGCCAAAAATGTTTACAAACTTTCTGCAGTGATTTTTTTTAAGATTTTATTTATTTATTTGACACACAGAGAGATCACAAGTAGGCAGAGAGCTAGACAGAGAGAGAGATAGGAAGCAGGCTCCCTGCTGAGCAGAGAACCCCATCCATCCCAGGACCCTGAGATCATGACCTGAGCGGAAGGCAGAAGCTTAACCCACTGAGCCACCCAGGCGCCGCTCTGCTGTGATCTTATAAGGAATATTTCAAGATTTAAATGTGGTATTATTTACCACTAATGTGGAAACATCATGACTCCTACCCACCCTTTTATTCCTCTACTCCAATTTCATATCTAGAACTCTCTGTACGATGTTGTTGGGTTGACATTGTGCTGTTGACTGAGCTATGGGATATTCTGACTTCATGGAAGTGAATCCTCTTCCAAAAAAAGAAAGCAATATCCTCATATTGGTCTTTTTTTTTTTTTTAAGAAAGTAAAGGAAAAGACAATGAAAAAGGAGATACTTCTTACTTTAAACAGTAATCCAATGGCAGGTGAAACTCTAATTTTATGATTTGTGTGTGGGTTCAATATTGGAGAGTTAATGCTATTCAAATGTATCATTTAGAGCTCCTTTTTCCCCAAAACTAAATAAAGGTTATTTATTACAGGTTCAGAAAATGCATGTGAAAGAACTTCTTTTGCATTTTTGAGGCAAGAATTGCCTGTGAGGCTAGCCAATATCCTGAAGGAAATCGATATCCTCCCTGATCGATTAGTCAATACCTCTTCAGTGCAATTAGTTAAAAGCTGGTAAGTGGTGAACCATTCCGAAACAGTCTCTATTTTTAAGACAAGTATTTGTATACGAATTCTTATAATATATTAGCATCATAATTGGAAAACGAGTGGCCTGAAACTAAGTATTTTGAAGAATGTCAAGATGTTTTTGTAATTTATTTATTTATTTATTTATTTTTAAGATTTTATTTATTTATTTGACAGACAGAGATCACAAGTAGGCAGAGAGACAGAGGGAAGCAGGCTCCCTGCCGAGTAAAGAGCCTGATATGGGGCTCCATCCCAGAACTCTGGGAGTCATGACCTGAGCCAAAGGCAGTGGCTTTAACCCACTGAGCCACCAGGTGCCCCTGTTTTTGTGATTTAGTGTGAGTTGTCATAAGGACAGTTATAAAGCTATGAACAGACATTTTGCCCTGAAAAAGTACATACTTTTCGCAATATAACTATATTTTGAATAATAAAAGACAGAGTTTGATATTGCACGCAGAATCCTATCCTAGAAATAAACAGAAGGATGGCTATTTAGAGGATCTAATCTTTGTTACTTACAAACTAATTAACAGCAGGCTTTGGGTTCAAATCCTGTTTCTACCTCTAACCGGTTGTGGAATTCATGTCAAGTATCTTAAATTCTTTATGCCTCAATTCCCCAATCTGTTACTGAGGAAAATAAAGTATATACTTCAAAAGTTTATGTGAGTGAAATTAAATGGGCTAATCCATACAAAAAAAAGTACTTAAAACAGTACCTGGCACACAGTCGCCACTTAATAATTGTCAGTTATTATCATCGCATTTTACAGATAAGGATTTTGAGGCTTGGAGAGGGTAGATCACCCAACAGAACAGATTTTCAGAGAGTGGAACCAGGATATGCACTGAGGCGGATATATACCAGAGCCTCACCCTAATTCACTGACTACACAGCTTTATTGATTTAAGAAATCTATATATATTATAAATATTATAAATGTATATTATATGATTGTGTATATATATAAGTATTACACTTATAATATATTAATAAATATATATCTATATTATATACTATAAATATAAAATAAACATTATATTTATAATAATTATTTAATATAAATATATACTATAAATATAAATAAGTATTATACTTATATAAATATAAGTATTATATATTATAAATAAATATATAAATAAAGATTATTAAACAATTACCATCTGAAACACATCATCCATAGTATTTACTGATGCTTTCATGACTTCTACTCACCTATGAGTGAATATAGCAGGAAAAATATGAAGCCTTCCTTAAAAAGTTTTTTCTAAATGCTATAAAAAAAGAAAACACTTGCCAGATAAAATAAAAAACTGACTACTGATCTGGAATGATTGAAGAAATATCAATTTTAAGTTAGAAAGTTGAGTGTTAAAGTCGTAGCTTCGTTTTTTGTTGTTGTTGTTTGTTTTTTTATTAAGATACAGTGTTTTCCAGATGTCTTGAAGAAAAGTTTTAATTTTAAACATAATACTTTCTCTTTTGCAATCATTTTTAAATGATTTAGCTACTTGTATCTGGCTATTCAACTTTAAAACTTAAAGCACGACTGTCCCTTTACAGGTATATCCAGAGCCTGATGGATTTGGTGGAATTCCACGAGAAAAGCCCAGAGGACCAGAAAGCATTATCAGAGTAAGTTCTATGCATTTGAATATGTGTCCAAAACTTTGACTATTTCCAGACATACTTCTAAGATTTTATTTTTTTTGGACATAAATTAAAGGAGCTACACTCTGAATAACAAATAGCCTCTCCCTTACAAATGACAAGTTTTGACTTGCTGGTTTTTTAAAAGTGAAGAGGAATGATGGCATTGAAAATGATGCTGAGTCTGAGCAAGTGTAGGGAACTTTTTATTTTTGAGGAAACCTATTTTTACTATAAATTCAGTCAGATGATTAGATTCACAGGTGGATTTACTATTACATAATATTAATATATGTCATTGTTACTGGAGATTGAACATTATCTTTCAGAGTAACTGATCATTTCTGGCTATAAGAATAGGAAAGAAGAATCTTTTTATAAATCCGAGAAGAAATCTTGAGGGTTTTTTCCACAGTGGCACTCTAGAATTCTCTTTAATATTAATTATCTTTTAATTATTATTTTTTAAAGAAAAGGCTTAATGAATTCCCAGAATGAATTCACCAGTTAGAAAGCCGGTATTTTTACATTAAGCTAGAAGGAAAAAAAAATCTGTTTGTGATACTATATTTTCTATTGTAGTCGAATCTGTAAGTGAGAACCTTACATTTTATCATTTGATTTCTTTAGATGGGTACTTAAAAAAGTTTTAGCCTTCTTTGGGGTAGTCTAAGGGATGTAAGTGAAGGAAACTTACTTGAATTTTCAGTAACTGTAAATGTGTTTTGGCTTAGTTTTGTAGATACTCTCATCAAAGTTCGAAATAGACACCACAATGTAGTTCCGACCATGGCACAAGGAATCATAGAATATAAAGATGGCTGTACAGTTGACCCAGTCACCAATCAAAATCTTCAGTATTTCTTGGATCGATTTTACATGAACCGTATTTCTACCCGGATGCTGATGAACCAGCATAGTAAGTTAGCTCCTTGTGGTCGTGACCTACTGAGAAGGGTGTGGAATACAAGCCATACCCCAACCAGATGTTTCATTATTCAGGGGCTCACGTTCTTTTTCAATAATCATGATTATCCTGATTTTTATAACACCATCTTTTGTTCTTGTTTTTCAACAGTTCTTATATTTAGTGACTCACAGACAGGAAACCCAACTCACATTGGAAGCATTGATCCAAACTGCGATGTGGCAGCCGTGGTCCAAGGTAATCTCTAGATTTCTGCATTTCCCTTATTGAAAATATACGCTATGCGATTGACATATCTCTCGTTGAAGTGAGTTTGTGAATAACTTTATATTCGGAGTGATCCATTTATATTTTTATAAATATTGTCATGGAGGTCCTTTGCTTTTGAGAGCCAGGGGTTTAAAACTCATTAATAAAATTATAAAAATCCAAACATCACTGGTTAATGTGCCATATTCTTATATATCGTATCCGGTATCTGAATTGTGCGTATTCCTATTGCCACAGCTATAACTTCAACACTATCTCACTATCTTCATTTTTTCTTCAATAAAGTATTAAAGAGGTTTTTTTTCATTTATAGAAACCTGTACTCTCAATGAATATTCTAGACTAACGGTAGTACACACATTGAAGATCATGTGAAAATTTTACTTGGCATAAATTCATTTCATCATTATGAAAAAAAACCTTCTATTTCAGATGCCTTTGAGTGTTCAAAGATGCTTTGTGACCAGTATTATTTAACATCTCCAGAATTAAAGCTCACACAAGTAAATGGTAAGCTACAAATAAACCATATTTTAATCTATGGGAAAGTCACTGTTCTCCCAGTCTGATTACTTCTTCTAAATACAAAGCAACTTCTGTGTTCCTTTTCTCCCTTCTGACCTTCTCTAGAATTTGTACACTTCTCTTTTGAAGCCAAAGTTCTCTTCATCTCAGTTGGAAAGTTCCAATTGAGTATATTCAGTTGTTAATGATGATTCATAAAATGGAATGGTTTGAACAAATAATTTAAGATTTAAAGTAGCAACCTAGTTTCAGTATCTTAGATCAAAGAAAGAAAGCTTATTGCAAAATATGGAAGTCAGGGAGGCCAGAAATAGGAGGAACCACTTGGTAGTGGAGATATCCTCCTGGAGAAGTTACTCATAAGACCTAGAAACAAAAATACTTTAAATTGTACTGTAAGAGATAAGCCAGTCATGGACAAATACTGTGTGATCCCACTTACCTGAAGTATGTAAAATAGTTAAATTCAGAGAGGCAGAAAGTAGAATGGTGGTTGCCAGAAGCTGGGGGCTGGGGTAAAGGGGAGTTGCTATTTAATGAGTATAAAATTTAAGTTATGCAAGATGAATAAGTTCTAGAAATCCACTGTACAACATTATGCCTACAATTAACAATACTGTATTGTATACTTAGGTAGTTAAGAAGGTAGATCTCATGTTAAAAGTTCTTTTAAAAAGTGTTTTTAAATTACAAAAAAAATTAAGTGCACTGTAAGTATACACCACTCTTTTTGGAAGCAGAGCATAACTCAGTGGCTTCAGCTCTAGGGTACCTGAGAAGATAGGGTCTTCCCACATTGAAGTGATAATATAACAAATGCAGGGCACTGTTTTTATTGTATCCCGTAGTGCTTCTCAGAGCAGGACAGTTAAAATTAAGTTGCTCACATTAAAAGTACCCTAACTCTAACTCATGGATTGGGTTATATGTACATGTAATTGATTGCTAAATTAAAAATAGGAATACAAATAAAGGTTGAAAAATATCTCTAAGCATTAACAGCATTGTTGCATAATACGTGTAGACAAACTGCTTGAACTGTTTGATAAAATAAAGAGGGAATTGTGCCAGGCCTTCTGTTTTCTGATTCAAACTTGGCCAAGGCCTGGGACACCAAAGAATAATACTTTGATTTTTCTTCTCAAACAGTATTAAGAGGTTTTTGTTTCTCTGTTTTCTTTTGCCTCTCAGTAAAATGTAAGCATATTTAGACTGTAAGATTTAATGTTTGGGTGATATAAATCAAGAATAATCAAATGTGTTATTTTCCCATAAAATATTAAAATTTTAGTTAACATTAATTTCAGTATTATACTGTGGCTACATGAATTTTTTTCTTTCTTAAAATGGTGATTTTAACTCTGAAATAGCACAGTATGAAAGTTTTGAAAGCAGAAACAAATAATTCACGTAACCTAATTTAGAGCACGCTCGTCATGCACTTCATCTGACCTCATACTTTTGTAGAGAAATGCAGAAATTAGTCATAGAGCACAAGGCAGCTGCCGTGATAGCATTTTGAAAATAAGCCAGCTGTGTTTACTGTTTAAGAGGGAAGTTCTAGGGTAGATCCTAGAAGGTTCTAGGTTAGTACAGGAAGATGGGGTGTATTCTAATCTTGGGAGTAAGGAGTCTCTATTAATCAAATAGATACAGAACTTTGTCTTCCTGAAATACTTGTTCACCAGTTCTAAATGAGTTTAAATTTTTTTCTAGGAAAATCTCCAGGCCAACCAATTCACATTGTTTATGTACCTTCCCACCTTCATCATATGCTCTTTGAACTATTCAAGGTATGACACTTCCAAATAATTGCAATCTTGTTTTGTTTTTAATTCACTGGTTACCTTTTTATTTCCTTTATTGTTTCCCACTGAGTGGGAGCCTCACTATCTTCTCCCAAACTTGCTTCAGGACTCCTAAAGAAAGGAGCCGCAGTTAATGTTGGAAAGGGCCCCCGCAGTTCAGCAGAACCTCCACACGTACTAGAGAACACATGATAGGACTCACGATGTCTTTGAGCTCCCTGTTCTTATTATTTTTTCAAGTGTCCAACAAAGCGCTAGTCATACATGCAATTGTGAAGGAAGGTCGGGGGGTGAATGCTGCAGTGAATGGGGCCTTGTTACGTCCACCCCTGCAGGATGGTCCAGCTCCAAATCCAGATGTTCAGGTCCAGAGTTACTGCAGGTGGCAGGGCTCCAACGTGAGTCTAAAATATACTCAGAAGGCAGTCAGTTCCCTCCATGATCAACTTTAATGTGCCTATGAACCATTGTTGAAATTCTGATTCAGTGGCACTAGACTGGGGCCTGGGGTTTAGAATTTGTAATAAGCTGACGGGTGATGCTGCTGGTTCACATTCCACACTTTCCGTCGTAAGACTATAGGAGAGTGCTTCTCAAACTTCAGTATGCATTGGAATCACCTGGAGGGCTTCTTCCTTCCTTCCTTCCTTTCTTTCTTTCTTTTTTTTTTTTTTTTTTTTTGAAGATTTTATTTGTTATTTGACAGAGAGACTGTGAGAGACGGAACACAAGCAGGGGTAGTGGGAGAGAGAAAAGCAGGCTTCCCGCCCAGCAGGGAGCCCCATGCGGGGCTCTATCCCAGGACTCTGAGATCATGATCTGAGCTGAAGGCAGACGCTTAACAACTGAGACTCCAGACGTCCCTGGAGGGCTTCTTTAAACATAGATTTTTAGACACTGGTCCAGAGATTCTGATTCTGTACATCTGAGAATTTGCATTTCTAACAAGCTCACCAAGGATGTGAATGTTACTGGTCTGAGGTAGCCAGGTACCAAGAATCAAATCCTGTCCTGAGTTCTAAGACAAAGCTAAAACTATATTTACACCAAAAAAAAAGAAAAAACACCCTAAGCTTTATGATGCTTTCCATGAATCTCCTGGACTCCTTGAGGAGGAAGCCTTAAAAAAAAGTGAAATTTGCCTCTAATTCTGATACAGCTTTTCTCAGAATTTATTGTTTCTTACTTTATTCTAATGTTAGTGTAATGAGGTATTGATTGTACTATAGACATTCTGATCTATTTTCTTTTACTTCAGCTAATGATTAGAACTTAGTATTATATAGAGGGGCGCCTGGGTGGCTCAGTGGGTTAAGGTCTCTCTCTGCCTTCAGCTCAGGTCATGATCCCAGGGTCCTGGGATCAAGCGCCACATTGGGCTCCTTGCTTAGCAGGGAGCCTGCTTCCCCCTCTCTCTGGGCCTGCCTCTCTGCCTACTTGTGATCCCTGTCTGTCATATGAATAAAGAAAATCTTTTTTTTTAAGTTTTTTAAAATTACAAAAAAGAACTCAGTATTATATAGAAACCAGAAAACAGATAATGTACCACAAGGAGGTTAGAGAGGAAAATGGGTGACGTAAACCAAAACTTAATCTGTATGAGACCTATCCAGTTGTCTGCAAACTTGAGTTTCTTCTCTGTTAAAGGACACAAGATACTTTTTGCCTTGATTTCATTCATTTTGAAATTGAATGGTCCAGCTCTTAGAGTTGTTTTGCCATCATTGGTAAAAGTTAAGATGATAATCAAGTGCAAATTGAAATTTAATTTAGAATTATTTACTATCCTTTTAAATAGTAACAACCTTTCCCAGCAAGTTTTATAAAAAGCCAATAAATTGGTTCAATGATTCACTGTTCATTTGTTATGTAATAGTCTTTGGTGCTTGGATGTAAAATGTAATGGAAAGACAGAAAAGAGAGAGCCAGGAAATGGACTATAAAAACCAATTTCTACATTTAAATTAAGCTTACAAATAAGAACTTGACAGCTAGCAGAATTGTTTTTCCATTAGACATTACTCCCAGGAGCTATATTACATGGTAAATGAATATTTTTCATTATACATCCTGCATGACACATTCATAAATGGCTATTTACAGAGCTGTTTTACTACTAACTTAAAAAAAAAATAGGAACTTTGAATTACCCTCTGTGCCGCTTTTATTTTAAACATAAAAAACAGTTATTTATTGTTTCTCATTCTTCTGCCATTGAATTCCTTATGGTTTTGATTTCTTTAGAATGCAATGAGGGCAACCGTGGAACACCAGGAAAACTGGCCTTCCCTTACACCAATTGAAGTGATTGTTGTCTTGGGAAAAGAAGATCTGACAATCAAGGTAACCATTTTCTGTTGTTCGTTGGAGTCTCTCTCTCTCTTTTTTTTTTAATTTTATTTATTTATTGACACATAATAAATAAATAAAATCTTTAAAAAAGATCACAAGTAGGCCTGGGGGGAGGGTTAGGGGAAGAAGCAGGCTCCCTGCTGAGCAGAGAGCCTGATGCCCGGCTGGATGATCATGACCCGAGCCGAAGGCAGAGGCTTTAACCCACTGAGCCACACAGGTGCCCCTGGGGTGGGGCCGTTCTTTTCTTGAGAGAACGGAAAAGTGTCAGTAATAATAAAGTGATCTGCTTTGAGCAGCAGATCAAAGTCTATGGTGTACATAGGCCATAATGACTTTTAAATAAAGGAAAAACCTTTTTAGATGGACAAATCACCTTGTTTTTCACGCATAGCTTTGGTTTGTTTGTTTAAGATTTCAGACAGAGGAGGTGGCGTTCCCCTGAGAATCATTGACCGTCTCTTTAGTTACACGTACTCTACCGCACCAACCCCTGTGATGGATAATTCCCGCAATGCTCCTCTGGTAAGACCAGTTACACGGCTACATTCATCCCAGCCACCTAGTCCTAAATGCAGAGCAAGGATTACAAGGAAGTATTTAGGCAAGTTAGTCAATTTAGTTAAATTGGGCGTGAGGAATAGGAGAAAGCAGGAGAAATCAAGCTGAAGAAGCTGAAACAATTTACCGGAGGTCTCTGATTAGAAGCAGAAATCACTTACCTTGGCTCTAGAACATCAGTAGCAAGGAGGCTAATAACACTTGCCTATGTTTTGCATTTCCACGAGCACGTCCACTTCTTTGCCAATAATTTATCTTTTCCCTCTAGGCTGGTTTTGGTTATGGCTTGCCAATTTCTCGTCTCTATGCCAAGTATTTTCAAGGAGATCTGAATCTCTACTCTATGTCGGGATATGGAACCGAAGCCATCATCTACTTAAAGGTATCCTTTCAATTCAGTAGAAACAATCCTATTTCTATTTTTTGTAAAGATTTCATTTGTTTGTTTGTTTGAGAGGGGGAAAGAGAGGGAAGGGGCAGAAGGAGAAGGAGAGGAAGAGCTCAAGTGGGCTCCTCAATGAGGGGGAAGCCCGGGACTCCATCTCATGAGATCAGGACCTGAGCTGAAATCAAGAGCCAGACGCCTTCACCCGGGTGGCTCAGATGATTAAACATCTGCCTTTGAAAAAAAAATAATAGGGGCTCCTGGGTGGCTCAGTGGGTTAAAGGCGCTGCCTTCGGCTCAGGTCATGACTCCCAGAGTTCTGGGATCGAGCCCCATATCAGTCTCTTTGCTCGGCAGAGAGCCTGCTTCCCTCTGTCTCTCTGCATACTTGTGATCTCTGTCTGTCAAATAAATAAATAAAATCTTTAAAATAATAATAATAATAATAATAATAAATAAACATTTGCCTTTGGCTCAGGTTATGATCTCAGGGTCCTGAGATCGAGTCCCTCATCAGGCTTCCCTCCCTCTGCCTGCCTCTCTCTCTTTCTCTCTGTCTCTCATGAGTAAATAAATAAAATCTTTAAAAAAAAAAAAAAGAGTCAGACGCCCCACCGACTAAGCCACCCCGGTGCCCCGAAACAATATTTCTGAAAGCAATGTTGCTCTTAAGGTCCTGAGTTCCACGCTCCACGGTGTGAATACCTCAAACTGAGTTAATGCAAATAACAACCACATGTCATTTTATTTTCTGTTTGGTATGTGTAGATTTACTCATTAATATTTAATATGGTAACTTACCAGTTAGAAGTGGGACCAGGGTACCTGCTTTAAGTGAAGCAAAATTTTTTCTCAAGAAGCATATTAGTCTCCCAGTGAGGACATCCTCATGTGAATTTCTTAAACCAACGCCTTTTGGCATCTGTGAGAATAGCTGTGCCTTTGTTTTACTTAAACTCATGTGAAATATATGCTAATAATGTTGCAGCCTAGAAAACAGCTGATACCAAGATACTCAAGACCTTAAGTTGACCTTATTAGAAATCCAGGGAAGAAAAGCTAACCGCTCACGAGCTGTCACTGGGATGTCTGGCATTTCCTGATTAAACTTTAAAACTTGGCACTTGTTTTTTCTATTTCTGATAAAGCCTCGGTGTATTTGTTAAGGTCACTGTCCTGATTTGTTCATTGTTTTCCAGCAGTTTTGACTGAAAATGTATTTACAGATATTAGTAACTAAAACATCAAGCTTGTGGGTTCCCATTTTGTGCAAGGGTATTATGTGCTGAGAGGCCTTTGACTGTCTGAAGTAATTACTGTATTCATTTCTTAACCAACTGAGCCACCCAGGCGTCCCAATGTATTCATTTCTTAAATGAGCAGAAGTCTTCAAAGTACTGAGAAAGATTAAGAGATGATAGAGTTATAGTATCAGATTTTAATAAATTAATGGTATCAGATTAGGACTCTTTATCACAGATACAAAAGTTTTTGTAAAGAAATAATAGCTTTGCTATTCAGTTCTATCACATCAGCAATGTCTGAACAAGGGACAGGTGTAAATATTGGAGACGAATTCTGTTCCCCAATTTATAACTGTGTATATATTATTTTGGCACCTAGAGGATGGAAATAATATTTACTTTTTTCATTTTCTTTTATACCCTGCCCAGCATATTATGGGCTATGGTGTGCTCTTACTAACTGAATCAACTAAAGGAATGTATTTGAATGTTTGAGTACTTACCTCTGGATTTATTTTGAGTAATCACTTCAGGTACAAATTGTGCCACGAATAATTTCTTTGAGTTGACTTTTCTTCCCCTTCTTCTTTTAGGCTCTATCTTCAGAATCTGTAGAAAAACTCCCAGTCTTTAACAAGTCAGCCTTCAAACACTATCAGATGAGCATCGAGGCTGACGACTGGTGTATCCCAAGCAAGGAACCAAAGAACTTGGCAAAGGAGAAAGTGGCTCTGTGAAGAGAGTCGCTTGGGACACTTTACGGGATCAAAGTGGGTCTGCGCCAGTGCTGCTTCCTGAATGCTTGCGTGTGAGCTCTCGTTTCCTCAGAAACAAAAGCACAAAAACCTGCTGATCAGAACAGTGGTGCAAAGAGGAAGGAAGCCTGTTTCTCAGACCCAGGATAGTGTAACGTAGGCGTTATTCTTTCAACCTGGCCTGATATACGAGCTTATATCAAATCCTGAAGCAAGAAAGGCCTCAGTTTGCCCTGTCTTTGTCAACAAGGATGGGAATGCGAGCGAAGTGGAGATAGAAGCTGGCACTTGCAGTAGACTGCTATTTTAGGGCTGCTGTTGATGGTGTAAGATATTGGTATTTATTGCATATCAGGTGTCACTATGCCAATATTTCCCTGCCATCAAAGGGTTGGGGCTTAGTTTACGCTACGTCATTAGAAATGTATATAATGGTACATTTCCTGCGTTCCTATGTTCTCTGGGGAGGAAAAGCTGGTGACTAAATAACATTTACTTTGTATGTTATTTGAATGAAGAAGAATGAGTCGAAACATTTTATTCAAAGTTGTAGCCAAGGCATCCTGCCAGTGTAGAAACTCAGAAGAAAGCCTCTTCTGATAAATACTGTGTCTTCATTAGGCTGCTCTCCTGTTCACACTTCATGTCATAAGTGAACGCTTATGGCCAGGTGCCTGCCTAGTCTTGGGTGAGTTTTAAAATAGGCACTGAATTCAGGATGTTGGTGGTTGAAGGGGGAAAAGAATTGCCAAAGTGATAACAAAATTATCTCTCGCCTTGCTTTGTTTATAAATGAGACGGTGGGTTGGAAAAACCAATATTGGGGAAAGAAATCATGCATTCAGGACCTAACTCAGTAGGAGGGTCTGTTCTCTCCCCTGCAATGGTGGTAATCCAATGATGGCATCCCCTTTCTAGGCTTAAAGAGGTATATTTTTGATATGTGTAATTATATTCTTTACACTCCTGCATTAACATATCTATATAAACAATTCCTAATTATCAAATGGCTCAAGAACATTAGAATTTAAATACTTCTTGGGACAGTTTTAACAAATAGCCTGAGAGTAAGAGATTTTCATACCAGGAGGCTTTCATTTGGATCATTGAGACTGAGGACTGATAAATGGAAGTTGTAATGCATATGGAACTTTTGGGGACTTCAAGTATAATAGGCAGGTGGACAGGCCTGTCTAGCACATAATTCTCACAGAATGAAGGACGGGAGGAAGGAAGGAAGGTAGGGGGAAGGAAGGAAGGGGGTAAGGAAGGGAGGAGGGAAGGAAGGAAGGAAGGAAGGAAGGAAGGAAGCGGGGAAGGAAGGAAACAGAGGGCAGGCATCTTGCTTTTTCCCCTACAAAGTATTTCAAGAAATTGTCTATATTTTCATAGATAAGTTACTGCAAGAGGATGAATTGATGTTTCCCAGAACAGAATGGCTTTTTTAAATGGGTCTCTCACTTTTGCAACATAATGGGCTTTCATGAGATTAAATAAGCTCATCTGTGTCCAACTGATGTGTCAACCAGGATATAGAAAAAAACTAGAATTTTCTGCATTGCAAAAGAATCAGTACTCTTTGTATATGTTGAATTTAACATTTGTGTTTAATTTTGTTGTGACCTAGAATTGTGGTGCTTCTGGTTGTGGCCATAGAGGCCTCAAATGATTTGTTGCTTACGTCAGACTTTATCACGAGAAGTCCTAGAGAGTGACTTTTCTTGAAGGTGGGACTCTGGCTCATGCATTTATTGATTACACAACACTTCCTGCAATAGGTCATTTGACTTTTTACTGAGCTTAAACATTTTGCACGTATATATTTGTATTTACCAAAGATTTAAAGCAGTTGATTAAGGAATTAACCCCAACACTGTGAATTATCTTTAAAATACTAGAGAAGAAATGTTCATATCACAATAACATAAACTGTAAATAGAATTCTGTAAGAGAGAAATTGTATTGGTATTTGTGAAATCTACGGAAGAGCTTTAGGATTCTAGCAGATGGATACTGACTGTTCAGGCCCACTTAAGTTATTGATGTATAAACTGTGTTTTTGTCTCTATGTACAGAAAGATGTAATCATTTTTATAATAAATATTTTTATTATAACAGTAAACATCTTTTGAAATTTGTTTCTCAAATAAATGGCAAAATACTAAGAAACATTTGAGGTAAAGATTTTCTTCACTTTGCACTCAAATCTAATTCATCTCTATATTGGGGATAGCCTTTTAAAAGTATTGAAAGCAACTTAAAATTTTGATTTTTAAACTAAAAGGTAAATACTTTATAGAAGTCCACAAATTTCTGATTGTCTTTTGCTTTCTCATGTATGCCCCAGTTGCACATAGTACACAGTGTGTTTATTACATTAATATATTGAATATGTTCAATAATCATTTTTGCCATGTACATATTCTGCATTTTTTCTTTTTTTGGTAAACTTAAAATTCCACTTGGTGACTGTATTTATGTAATAAATACAGTAAAGTACCAAAATAATTACCTAGATAATTTAGGTTCCCAAACAACTTCTGGATTAAATATCTGAATAAGATAGAAAATATCTGAAAAAGGATAGAAATTACTAAATTAATCTTTACGTTATTTTTCTTCACTAATTTAATCCTACTTTATCTTTCGATAGCATCCTTTGTCTACCTTCATAATGCCCTTATTGGCAAAGTTCTGTAAATAAAAAAGAAAAAGAGGGAGAGGGGAGAGAGGAAAGAAAAAACAAAAGAGAGAGAGAGAAAGGAAGGAAAGAAAGAGAAAAGAAAATTAGTGGAATGGATTCGTCATAGCTAAATTCTAAATTTTGTCAGAGTAAGCATATTTGAATCAGAAATGCCATTAAGCTAAGGCATTAGACCTAAAGAACATAAAGATACAGTATATCATGACACTCTGCTTGACTGCCTTCATTTCTTCTGTCAGAGACGTGTGGCACCATGTGACTAAAGAAAGCACATCACACAGGCGCGTGCAAACACGTACACACACACACAGAATTTAGCTGTACAGTGTCCTTGGATTAAGCTGCTTGGAAGGTAGATAGTTCGTACACTACACAGGCTCAGAACCTCCATCCACATTTCCATAAAAACTGTGAGACTTTAAATCCCACAACTTCCCATATATGCGTGCGCGCGCACACATACACACACACACACACACACACATCTTTTTGACTCAAGTCAAAGGATACTAATTTTTTTTTTTTTTAGAATTTATTTATTTGACAGAGAGAGATCATAAGTAGGCAGAGAGGCAGGCAGAGAGAGAGAGGGAAGCAGGCTCCCTGCTGAGCAGAGAGTCTGACGCGGGGCTGGATCCCAGAGTCCTGAGATCATGACCTGAGCCGAAGGCAGAGGCTTAAACCACTGAGTCACCCAGGTGCCCCAAAGGATACTAATTTTTGAGTAAAACAAAGTTGGCTAAATTTTCATCAAACCATCTTTATACCATTTCTCCCAAATTTCAAATTTGACTGGAAATGGCAAAAACATTTGATCTTAACTACAATGACATATGCAGAGAGATCTTTGAGAGCTAATAGCTTGGGCATTGACCTTGATAATTCCTTCACTCTCGCCTCTGCTTCCAAGTAGTGCACTTACCCTTAGCTGTGTACCAGCACAACAAATGTACATGAACTTTGCCGATCACTTTGATCTGGCCTGGGGAAAGAATTGAAGGACTTTCATAATTTCACAGGATCTTAGCCAAGAAATCCCTAAACCCCCTGCCATGAACACTGAAAGCAGTCAGGTTTTTATTTCCAATAATGTTTTGCCCATATCTCTCTTTTTGATTTTTCACTTTTTATCTTACATCACAGTTACTTGGGCAGTCCATAAACATTCACTGGACAAAGAGATGAATAAACACATAAATCAACTACTGCCTGTAAGGACAGCCTCTCTGCATTTAAGGGGAGATTGGAACTCTGTGTTAAAAACAATGTACAGGGGCACCTGGGTGGCTCAGTGGGTTAAAGCCTCTGCCTTTGGCTTGGGTCATGGTCTCGGGGTCCTGGGATCGAGCCCTGCATCAGGCTCTCTGCTCACTGGGAAGCCTGCTTCCTCCTCTCTCCCTGCCTGCCTCTCCGACTACTTGTGGTCTCTGTCTATCAAATAAATAAATAAAATCTTTAAAAAAAAATGTACATCTTATACAATTTTATGCTTTAAATGGTATTCAAGAAGTCTTACAACATTGCAGAACCTCTGGAATACGTCTCCAAGTTGCAAGTTAAATTGCAACTGATCTTTGTTTAATGTCTTTCTCTGTTGGTGCTCTCTGCCCATTGGAAATTATCACATATTTCAAAAGAAATGAAATAACAGGGAAAAGTTATTACTACTAAGGAAATTTCTTGAGCAAATGGGTCAGGGTTTCAGATCTCTGAGTACTGTTTCATGTTCACCTTGGACTCAGATGAAAAAATATTAACATCCATATTTCATGGCCCCTTAACGGAAATGAACGACTGCCTTTTAATGAGATTTTTCAGTTCCTACCCAAGTGCAAATAAACATTAAAAGTCACTCAAAACCAACAGAAATGTCAGTAGCCTTGAAAACACGTTGAATCTACTAAATGATATGAAATAGATGTGAGCTATCTTAGTGATAAATTCAGCAAGAAAATGATAAAGTTTATCAATGCGTTATGAGACATCATTTTCATGTTTACTGCTACCATTTAATGTAATGAAAGTAACTTGGGACTGGTTGTCGAATAATGCAATATAGCTAGGAATTATTTATTAGCATACTCCTTTCATAAATGTAAAAGAGTGTTTTAATATATAAGACAAATAACATATCGGATAGCAAAGTCTTGAGGTTTTTTTTTTAATCGATTCCATTAAAGCTATGCCTTTTAATGTTTTTCTAGCCCCAAAATATACTTTGACAGCTGGTAGAATTGCCCTTAATTCAGTCTTTTTCTTTTAAATTCATTTTAAAGGATAACAACACTTGTTTGAAATTACAAATTTGTGATCTGGAAATAAAATAAAAACTTGAAAACAAAAATAAAAGCCTCATACCGTGTTCTTAGGCAATTCTCTTTACCTATTTCCTTACAAAGGAGAGGATAGCAATAAAGTACCGTCTTTCTGATACAAAGTCCTATAGTGCGAACCCACAATATCAATGATAGTAACATATTTGCTCTCATATACCCTATTGCCTGATTATGATCCCGGAGTTAGGTTGTTAGACCAAAGTATGCTTTGCGACCCAAAACTGCTGAGCTAGACTGAAACCTCTTCAGGCAGGGATCAAATGAAGACCTTGACCTCTTTGGTAATGCTGTCCAACCAAAAACTGGTTGGATGGTGGTGCCATGTGTTACCTAACGAGGTCTATTAACCCTTTCAGGTCCCTTTGCGATCACTGCACAAGGCTGCCCCTCCCTGAATATGGGGCAGAAGCTGGCTTGCTGCACATTATCAGTAAACACATAGATGGCTTAACGCACACTTTGCCCAAAGCATACTCTCAGTAATTGTTTGTCGAGTGGATAAAAAGAGACTTGAGCCATTAAAGTAACAATCGGGCTTCAGATGTTCCCGAGCAGCCTCTTTCGCCTCCTAAATATTATATTTCATCTTGTGAAAGCAGACCTCCAAATGATAATAAAAACAAACACTAAACATAGTTTTCAAAGAGCCTTTGAAAACAGTTCTCTGGCTGGCTGGAAAGTAGAGAATGTTTTCCTGCTTTTTTTTTTTTTTCTTAGAGTGTTTGACAATAGTTCTTTTTAACTAAAAAATATATCCTGCCTTCTGTATAAGTCAGATGTGATTCTTATTTTTACACAATCCAGATTATTCCAGGCAGGATCTCACTTACATGCACTACTCTGGGGATAGTTTGTGGGATAAAACTTGCCACTGAACCTGAAGAAATGATTTCTTAACCAAAGAATCTATAGGTTAAAACGTTGACTTGATCTTTTAAACTATATTTTTCATTGGCCAAAATTTTTTTCATATTCACTGTACTTTTTTCTTCTCTCTGAACCCTTTCTAAATTGAATATTACATGGGCAAAAAAAAAAAGAATTGTAGAACTTATTAGGTAGCAGGTATTTTTCTAAGGCTTTTATATTAATTAATCCATTTTCTTCCTTACAACAACCCATTATATTATTAACTCTTATGTATAAATGGACTCCTCTAACCTCACAACATGGGTGATATTCTTTTTTTTTTCCCCCATGGGTGATATTCTTATACTGCCCATTCTACAGATATGAAATTGAGCCACAAAGAAGTCCAGTAAGTTGCCCCTGTCAAGGGACAGAGCTGGGATTTGATTCAAGGCAGTGGATAGTCCAGAGCCTTTGCTCTGAAGAAACAGTCCTTCTGTGAGGAATGTATCCAGGAGAGCAACAAGTCAGAATGATGTCCAAGGCCGTATGAATGAGTAACCCAAAACTAATCTATGAGGTAACGGGACACTGCCACTGGCCTCATCAGCACTGAGCCTACTAACCAGATGCAAACCTCTGGATTCCTTCAGA